TTGATGAACACAAACTAATCCTCTTCTGACACGAAACTGTACTAAACTAATGTTGAAAAGAATTTGTCTACATATTTTTGTCCCTCATAAAAAAGTGCTTATATTCAGACTTGTATTGTGTTCATTGCAGATAATGTAAAAACAAGGAATTTAGCTTTTCTACTAATAACGCATTTGTTTATGGAGCAATGAAGTACGAATTCGTTTTCTAAAGGTATTTCGGTAAATATTCATATTTGTCTATATTCTTTTGTCCATTACTGTATGTAACTATCAAGGCAATCTACTTGACTACCGTGCACTGTAGCTTTTAGAGAGGATATGAAATGAATTCATTTTCTTCTAGAGAAATTCGTCTCTTCTCACTATCCCACACTTTTCGTATTATTATGAAACATTCCTTAGGTTGGTGGACGTAAAATACGCAGCTTCTATTTACTACAGATTTGAATACGAACGAAATATCTTGGCCTACATTTTTAGATTCGACGTTCGCTATACAAATTTGTTCCAACATTTACGTTACTCTTGCAAACTGCCTTGAGTGTGTTCACTGAAAGGCCAGATACACATCTATAAGAATGGGTAATATGTCCTCTAGTTAACCTTTTGCGTACAATAGTTTCAGTTGCTTTTCATCATGTCACGTATAAAATATCCTAAAATAAATAGCATACACGTAAGTCGACATAGACGGTATTTCTCTTATTTGTGAGAATGATCGTCATACTTCATTGAAAAGTTTTTTTGGAGGTCATTTAGCAGATGTAAAATTAACGTCAAGTGCTGAAACGAAGAGTGGAAAAAACTTCCAACGCCAGTTGGCGGGGAAGTATTGTAATTGCAAAAAATTAAAATCGTTTTCGTCTGTCTGTCCGGTAATCCTTGGGGCATTTTTAAACCGCAAAATACCGCCCGGATTTTGGTGAGATTTCGGCTCAAGACCATAGCGTCCACGAGAAAGCTTTGGGATTTTGAAAATGAGATCACTGACAACGTTTTCAAATTCGTTTGTCATTGTCTTCAAACTAGGAAATTTTGTGTCGACGTTTTTCAATTTTTGTGGTCACTTTAAGGCATAGCAATTTTTTTCTGATGGGCGACAGGATTGACCATTCAAACATATACTAAGTGACATATAAATCCGAACACCCAGTTTAAATGGTTTTATTTTAATAAAAGTTGGTGAATGTATTTATCTTACTGTAAATAACAAGTGAAAAAATTTTCAGCCTTATCAGTTGGACATTCCGGTTTTTATACTGCTTTTTTTAACTCACTAACGCTCTAAAAATGAATATTTTAGCCGCAGTAAAGAATCAACGTTGGCGGATTTTGGTTCTTGACATCCTTTACGATCGGTTAAGATGCCTAGAGACCTGTACGATTTCGTCAACTTAGTGAGTTTGATAGGGGATGTATAGTGGGACTTCGGGAAGCTGGACTTTCTTTTCGGGCAATTGCAGTTAGAGTGCAAAGAAGTGTAGACACTGTGGTTAGGTGTTGTCAGGCATGGCTTCGAGAAGGCCGTACGTAAAGAGCAAGGGGCACTGGACGCCGCCGTGAAGATCGCCGCCTAAGATTATTGGCCTTAAGGGACCGTTTCTCCACTACCAGGTCCATTGCAAATGAATGGTTTGCAGAACACGAAAGACCTATTGACATGCGAAGTGTTTACCGACGAATGAGAAGTTTTGGCTTGTTTTCATACCGGCCACACTGGGTCCTCCCTTTAACTCGAGAACACCGACGTAATCGCCTTGAGTGGTGCAGACAACGCTCACTCTGGGATCAGGAATGGAACAGTATTGTCTTTAGTGACGAGTCTCGATTTTGTTTAGGCATGCACGATGGTCGTGCCAGGGTTAGAAGGCGACGTGGTGAAAGGAGGAATCCACAGTTTTTTGTTGAAAGACATGTTCATCACACTGTTGGAGTTATGGTTTGGAGTGCTATAGCTTATGGTTCCAGGTCACCTTTAATCTTCATCAGAGGTAACATGAACGCGCAGCTTTATAGCCACGAACTTCTAGAACCCCATCTTTTACCCTATCTTGACACCCTGGCAGATCCAACTTTCCAACAAGATAATGCCCGACCACATGTTGCAAGAGTTACAATAGACTTCTTTCAACGTAATGATGTCACATTGTTACCATGGCCACCAAGATCTCCCGACTTATCCCCAATTGAGCACGTGTGGGATATGATGGGTAGGAGATTGCTCAATTTGCAACGTCCTCCTCAGACTCTAGAAGCACTTCGAGAGGAGTTGGTGGTTGCCTGGAATGAGATACCACAGGAGGACATTGACCACCTGATCAGAAGCATGCCTAGGCGCGTTGGAGAATGCGTAGCACATCAGGGTGCATCCACACATTAATAAAGGTCAAAGGGCTTTAAAGCAGTGCAATCATTTTGAAAATTTTATCATTTACTTATGCTTCATTAAGTACTTATACAAAATTTTATTAAAATAAAACCATTTAAACTGGCAGTTCGGATTTATATGTCACTTAGTATAATTATATGTTGGAATCACCTCTTCAACGTCATACTTTTTATGAGACAGATATCCTTGAGATAAATTACCTCATAAAAGAGCTGCAAACCATTAAAGAGTTTAAATACGTAAATAAACATTGTCTGTCTTCTAACAAGGTTTGCATGCAAATTTGTGTTAATACACCACTCTACAAAAATCTCAATTAAAGTAAAAGTAGAATTTCCAAACATTTTACAATTCGCCCAAGGATTGTACTCTTATAATTTGTAGTGAGTTCGATTCCAAACAATTGCTCTTGAACTTTCACTAACCAGGTGATATAAAAAGCGCAAATTCTGTTATATCCTCACTTTGATTATTTTCAATATAAGTACTTAATGAAGCATAATAAGTAAATGATAAAAATTTCAAAATGATTGCACTGCTTTAAATCCCTTTGACCTTTAATAATGTGTGGATGCACCCTGATGTGCTACGCATTCTCCAACGCGCCTAGGCATGCTTCTGATCAGGTGGTCAATGTCCTCCTGTGGTATCTCATTCCAGGCAACCACCAACTCCTCTCGAAGTGCTTCTAGAGTCTGAAGAGGACGTTGCAAATTGAGCAATCTCCTACCCATGATATCCCACACGTGCTCAATTAGGGATAAGTCGGGAGATCTTGGTGGCCATGGTAACAATGTGACATTATTATGTTGAAAGAAGTCTATTGTGACTCTTGCAACATGTGGTCGGGCATTATCTTGTTGGAAAGTTGGATCTGCCAGGGTGTCAAGATAGGGTAAAATATGGGGTTCTAGAACTTCGTGGATATAACGCTGCGCGTTCATGTTACCTCTGATGAAGATTAAAGGTGACCTGGAACCATAAGCTATAGCACCTCAAACCATAACTCCAACAGTGTGATGAACATGTCTTTCAACAAAAAACTGTGGATTCCTCCTTTCACCACGTCGCCTTCTAACCCTGGCACGACCATCGTGCATGCCTAAACAAAATCGAGACTCGTCACTAAAGACAATACTCTTCCATTCCTGATCCCAGAGTGACCGTTGTCTGCACCACTCAAGGCGATTACGTCGGTGTTCTCGAGTTAAAGGGAGGACCCAGTGTGGCCGGTATGAAAACAAGCCAAAACTTCTCATTCGTCGGTAAACACTTCGCATGCCAATAGGTCTTCCGTGTTCTGCAAACCATTCATTTGCAATGGACCTGGTACTGGAGAAACGGTCCCTTAAGGCCAATAATCTTAGGCGGCGATCTTCACGGTCTGTTGTTCTACGGCGGCGTCCAGTGCCCCTTGCTCTTTGCGTACGGCCTTCTCGAAGCCATGCCTGACAACACCTAACCACAGTGTCTACACTTCTTTGCACTCTGACTGCAATTACCTGAAAAGGAAGTCCAGCTTCCCGAAGTCCCACTATACGGCCCCTATCAAACTCACTAAGTTGACGAAATCGTACAGGTCTCCGTACTCTAGACATCGTAACCGATCGTAAAGGATGTCAAGAACCAAAATCCGCCAACGTTGATTCTTTACTGCGGCTGAAATATTCATTTTTAGAGCGTTAGTGAATTAAAAAAAAGCATTATAAAAACCAACTGATAAGACTGAAAATTTTTTCACTTGTTATTTACAGTAAGATAAATACATTCACCAACTTTTATTAAAATAAAACGATTTAAACTGGGTGTTCGGATTTATATGTCACTTAGTATAACTATGACTAGGTGAGAATCTAATTTGACTCATTAACTTGGACTAGTGCCGCATGTCTTTGACCTAAAAAAAGGTCTGTCTTGGGGTTAATATCACAATGTTCCAGGAGAAAGTATATAATCCATATTAGGTTGGATAAACCGCCAAATAGCTATAGTTGATTGGCTTTTAAAAAAACAAAAGATATATAGGGTGTTCCTTAATGATATGCGAATATTTAAGGGTGAGAATCTAAATGAAAAATTAATGTTAGTTTGATTTATAAACTGTGGTCCAAAAATGTTTCCTTACAAAAACTCGGGATGTTGAAGTTTTAGGAAAAAAATGGAAATTAATTAATATTTCCAGCACCGCATCAGATATTTCACGGATATTTAGTACGTAGTGAAAGTTAATAAAGTTGCACATTATTCAATGCAAAAATAATTTTTAGCTTTAACAGTGGCGTGCGTACGAGTATTGACTTCGATATTTTTTAAGAAAAAAATGGTACGCCAATGGTTTTTTGCCAAATAAAAATTATTTTTGAATTCCCCGTTCAATTTAAACAAATGATCTCTCTTGAATTGTTTTCACCTCTAAGTGTGAGAACACCTTACCCCTTAAGTGCCATGGCCAAAAACCGTAACATTTATACCAGGGTCAAATTTGACCCCATTGTTTTTTTTTCAAATAAAAAATCTAATTTTGTACGTTGTTTTTATGTTGTTCTTTAGTTTTTCAATTTTATAAAATAAAACTAATATTGTTAGTTATAACTTTATTAAAAAAAACTTCGGTATCCAGTGAAATTAACAAAGATGTGCACTTTCTAAAATTATAAGAAAAATTAATTATAAAAATTTTCAGTTTTCTTGTATTCAGTGGTGAATTTTAGGTATCATATCTGCTACCTAAAATAAAAAAAATTGATTTAGATTTCGTATCTAAAAAATGACAAGCATGTTTTTGACCTTACTTTTCAACACAACTTATGCGTAACGTTCTAGTGCGGGCATGATTTTGCAAATAAATTCTCAACATTTATCGCACGATGAGCTTTCTTTCTGTTGATTTTTAGAATATGACCATATTTTACACCTTCTACTGGTTCCTGAAGTCCGGAAACTTTAAAAATGACACTACGACGTTCTCTCGGTAAACATGCTGAGCTTTACGAGTCAAATGGTCCTTAATAAGTTCTTGACCTAAAGCGGTTAGAAATATTTTTTTGCGCATCCGCTTCAAGTTCTTTCTGTGTCAGAGCGCGTGTAAAACAACAGAAGTTTGATTAATTTGAAACTTGGCACACGTATCAAGGACCGACGACATTGCAATAATTTGATAACAGATTTCCACTAGGATTGTTAAATTCGTGTATAGGGGGTAAGAGTAGGGGAGTAAGAGAGATAGAACTAGCGCGCGATCTGCGCATGCGTGCAGTTGCAAACTTACTCTTTTTTAATCGGGCACTCGGCACACCACAACGGAGGCAGATACTTTTTCAAGGTAGTGCATTCTCACCTTGTGCATTGCAAATGTTGCCATTAATCCAAAAGATGCAAGGTTGTACAGTCAGTCGATCATGCACTCATTGATCTAACTATATTTAACTATTCATAGTATTTCTTTGTTCCAGATAGATACCAAAGATGTCGAGCGTCGTGTCCAGCAATGACGCGAAGGTCGCACCTTCAACAAAAAACAACATGCTGAAAACAGATGAGAAACGTCTGGTCAGAACCTCTTCGATAGAAAAAATAAAAAGATTCAACTCGATGATCTGCTCCCAGCAATACCTCATCCTGCCCGCACTATTGGGTTTGCTGAAACTTCTCAACCAACTCTTCAGTTGTCTGCGGACAAGACTCTTCTTTACTTTGACGCCATTTTGTGTAGGTTTTACCTAGCCTACTTGATAAATGTAACCAAGAAGCTGGCTGTGAACGTTCAACAAAGCGTGAAAGATCTACCAGACGCGATACTGAGGTTCTACCAAATCTTCAGGCGGAATTTGGAATCTACATTGGCTTTGACATGTGCTGTCTATTCAGCTATGGCTCTCGTGATCTTACAAATGTTCCTGTTGTCGTATTACCTGCGACTCATCGTACTCCCTGTCGGCTTTTCGTTTTTGTTTAGCTGTATGGTGGTCATTCAGTATCTGAATTTCAAGACGACGTTTTTCTTCCTGCGAAGCCATGATAGGAGTGATAAGGGTGACTGTAAGAAACATAAATGAATGAAAGGATTGTTTTGAATGGATGCAATGTTGCGATGTCTCCTCAGAGTCGCATTTCGTGCCAAGTTTTATTTGACGACAATTTATAAAATATATTTTGATAATTCACAGTAGCAAAGACAAAAATATTCGAGGCATAGTTGACAAATTGACTTCGTATACTTCATTTTTCATGGTGATAGAATAGTAACTTCTTAGCTTTTCGAGAAAAAAGTATTTTCATGAAGTTATCTTAAGCGAATTCACTATAAGTGATCTCAAGATTAAGAGGGCTTTTAGGAGATAGAGTGACAGTGTTGTATGCGTATGTTCTTGGTGTAATGACTATAAATTTGCTTAATATCTAAAAATGTCTGCATTAGAAAATAAATTATGCTTATTCATACGATACTTAAAAAATCAATTACAAAGCAACGTTACATTCTATTCCCGTAATTGGCAGTATTCGTAATAAAAGTAGGAATTAAAATTACTGGAAATCAGTTTATAGTCGTTATGCTGGTAATAGGAGCGATTTTATTTTTTATCTTTGATTCTCACTTACATTAAGTGATGTATTTATATGTAGCTTTATAGCTTGTCCTACTGAATTTTTAGACGTCCTATAAATGTGTCAAAGAGGTCACTAGATATATATTTTAGTTGATTTGTAATGTATTTTTTTTGTAATATACATCCGTTAAGCTTACTAGGTGAAATTGTATTTCTGGAATTTTTTGATCAGTCATTGTTCAATATATATTTCGTGTTGTTCAGAGCTTACAAAATTGCAAAAAAAAAATTTTTAAGATCTTCAATTTATAGCCAAGTGATATTTTTGTTTTCAGTTAATGACGTACTGAAAGGCATTTATCGGAATAATATGATATGGTATGTGCTAATGAAGCTACTTAAGGGTAGAATAGTGATTATATGTAGGTGATTTTATATTTATTTTATACTGATTTGTTCGGATTTGAATTGTAAATATTCGAAATTTTTTTTACCGATTAAAGACGAATTGATTTTAACCATGGTTTTATTTCTGCCTTCCCATTTACCTTTAAGGCCTAAGTAACGTCGCACAGGCGGTGTTTGATACTCGACAAAGTTACTAAACATTCTAAAAAGAAAAAATATTTTTGACGGAGTGACAAACGTGTAGTTTTTTTTTTTTTAGTTGATGTTCTAAAGCAGGGTTTCCCAACCTTTCTTTTGTTGAGGCTCCCCGGACTATAAATTATATTTTCATGACCCCCTTTACTTTTTCCATAAATACAAAAAAAGGCACATTATACAGGGTGTTCCTTAATGATATGCGAATATTTAAGGGTGTCAATCTACATGCAAAATTAATGTTAGTTTGCTTTATAAACTATGGTCCAAAAATGTTTTCTTACAAAAACTCGAGGCGTTGAAGTTTTAGGAAATAAAATGGAAATTAATTAATATTTTCAGAACCGCTTCAGATATTTCACTGATATTTAGTACGTAGTGAAAGTTAATAAAGTTGCACATTTTTCAATGCAAAAATAATTTTTAGCTTTAACAGTGACGTGCGTACGGGTGTTGACTTCGATATTTTAAAAAAAAAATGGTTTTAATGACCTTTCAGTGATGCGTGATGGTTTTCAATAAATAAAGAAAAATAAACACGTACCGAATAGTTTTTTAATTGTTTGTTATGATTCCCTTCCTACCATGCGGGGCCGTGGCAAATGCTTGTTCCGGAAGTCGTATACAGTATACAACTTCTTCCCGTTCAAGTGATTGTACACACGTTAAGGAATACCTCAGTATCGATTCCCGGGAGGCGGTACAAGTCCGCCAACGGGCCACTTCAGGTCTATTTAATATCACTAACACGTAAAAAGTAGGTGGTAGACAAGGGCCAGTCGACCGAGGCGGTACCTCCCGCTAGCTTTTTCCAGAGTGTCTTATAAATGTCCGCATGTTTCCTCACCTAAGCTATGTTGTCGGTTATCTCCCAAAACTCCGGACGTAAACTAACTCCACTCTCGGAATGTCCGGGTGGAGGGTGGGCTCGAGGGAACAACATCGAAGATAAAATTTGTTTTTCGAACATCTGCGGGATTAACAGCAACATTGATGCCTTTCATCACTACCTGCAATCCAATCGTCTCGCCGTGCTTTTCTTGTCGGGGACAAAAATCTCAGAGTCTGCACCGATTAAGCATCTTAACTTCCCAAACTACGAGGTGCACTCCAATCTGAGAAAGAACGGGAGAGTTGTGGCTTTGTCCGCAGCAGTCTTTCCTGCTCCAGAGATGTTTCTCTGGACTCATCCGGAAGGACATTCTGTGGCTTCGCTTCAACTCCAAAACATCACCTAAATTTATTTGCTGCCTTTATCGCTCTACCTCGAACCATAACTGGGATGACCTACTCGAATACCTCGCCGATCAATCACTCCGCTTCAGAGATAGTTCTTCTCGGTGATTTCAATGCCCATAATGAGCTTTGGTTGGGCTCAAACAAGACCGATGCAGCAGGACGTGCAGTCGTAACGTTCGATCTTACCAAGGGCTGACCCAGCTGGCGACGAACCCTTCTTTTTTCCCCTGCGTCTCGTCAAACGCCAGTGGCCTGCTGGATCTCTTTCTGACCACGCATCCTGTCCCTTAGAGCACTGCTGTCATGTCCCCTCTTGGTAACTCAGACCATGGTGTTGTGGAGGTTAGGTTTCGGTCAGAACCTGCTGTGGCAGCAGAAACTCGTACAGGTCGCAAAACTTGGCATTACGGACATGCCGACTGGGAGGGGCTTAGAGATTCTTTCTCTAGTTTTCCTTGGAGAGATGTCTGTTTCACTGACGCGGATGCGTCGGCTGTCTGTTCTTCGATAAGCGAAATTATCCAGGTCGGAATGGAGGAATACATCCCTTCTTACACAGTGAAAGTGCCTAAACCAGGATCCAACGGCTGGTTTAACAATCGTATGACACTGCTCGCCAGCACAAGATCAAGTCACACAGAACCTTCTTACAAAACCCCACTGTTGAGAATAGACAATCCGACGTCGAGTCCAGAAACAAATACAACGAAGCGGTTCGCAATGCCAAAAACCAGCACGATAAAAAGTTAGGCACAGGGTAATGTCGCAGCGCAATGGCAGTAGGCCTTTCTGGACGCTGGCCAAGCAGATCGAAAAGAACTTCTCACACAGTAGCCGTCCACCACTTACGTGTCAGAAGGGAACTATTGTATTCGACTCAAAGGCCAAGGCGGAAGTGCTAGCCAAGATCTTTGATGCCAACTCCACCATGGACGTGCCCCCCCAACGCCCAAGTGCCGTCAATTCAACGGGTTCCCTACACTATGCAAGAGGTAACATTCAGGCATAAGACCGTAAGAGGAGTGCTCTTGTCGCTCGACATCAACAAAGCTTCTGGTCCGGACTTGATTCCTGCCATGGTACAGAAGAGATGTGCAGCGGAGCTTGCTCCAGTTCTTTCGCGTCTCTTCACGATATCTTATGAATCCGGCACCCTCCCAAAAAACTGGAAATTTTGCTCATGACCAACCCATCCCAAAAAAAGGATCGACTCTTACAACTGCAGGCCTATAGCTCTGCTTTCTGTTATAAGTAAGGTGATGCAGAGGTCCATAAATCGCGAGCTTCTGGACTACCTAGAACGTCACAGGTTGATTAGCGATAGGCAGTATGGTTTCCGGCACCAACGATCCACAGGGACCTCCTAGCTTACGTCACGCAATTGTGGAGTAAACTCATGCAGTCTTATGGTGGGGCTCAAGTCGTTGCTCTTGACATCACGAAAGCGTTCAATCAGCTGTGGCACCCTGCCCTCTTAAGCAAACTTCCATCCTATGGCCTCCCAGAAAAGAATGCAGGGCTGACTTTATCTCTGGCCGCAAGATATCCGTCGTAATTGACGGGTTCTCCTCTTCATCCCACAACGTCAACGCGGGTGTTCCCCAGGGATCGGTGATCGGACTGATCGATGACTCTTCTCTAACAGATAGACTCGGGACTCTTTCGCACCGGCGGACCGTCGGCGATCAAGCTCTTTCCTACCGCTACACCAACGGACTTTGGTCCTCGGAGTTCTTTTCCATGATGCCGCCGCGCGATGTGCCTGCCAGACAGGCCCGCCTGACTTTGGCGTCCCATCCTTACCGTGTCGAACTTCGTACATCCAGAACTGGCCGATACGATCGCTCCTTTGTCCTAAGGGTGTCGAGATTGTGGAACAATCTACAAGACGAAGCTTTTCCCAGTTCTACTAACCTTAGGCAGTTCAAAAATCGTATTATCAAAATTTCTTTAGGATCATCATAGCAGCCGCGGTGTTCCGGCATTTAGGCTTCTGCCTGCGCGGCTGCTTCGATATAAAAAAAATAAAAAGTTTAAATGTAAATATGCAGGCGTTCAAATACTTTTGGACGGTAGTGTACATCCTTCAATTCGATGAAAAGGATCATGTCAAGATCGAAAGCATTGTTAGTGTTAAGCTGTTCTAACATCGCCGCTACTGCACCGATTTTCAAAGATTTAGCATCTGTATTACTTCATATGACTTGGGACCCTACATAATATCATCTAGATCTAAAAAATGCGCTAAGAACAGCTCCAATACCCCAACGAAATTTAGTGAGATTATGTAATTTTCATTATGAAGAGATCGCAAAATATTTAAAAAACACAATATAAGTATGCTTATGAAGTACCTGTAAATAAAAGTCATTCACTGAACACTGTATTCAAAATGAGAACAATGAAACTCGTACTAGTATGTATCGAAGCTTCAGGGGAAAAATTCTTCCAGATTATTTTATCTCTTCGTAATTTTTGATGTACGTGAAAGCAAATCAAATACCTAATATTTACTTGAGAAAACAATGAATATATTAATAATTAATAAGCATGAATGTCCGACTACCTACAACCCTCATGTGTACCAAAAAGGGTTGTTTGTTTGTTACAAACACCATGGCAACCTTCGTGATATCGATCCAAATCCATTTCACTGTGCCTTAGTTTTATTTGCAACACGATGTTATTTGTTTATTATCTATTATTGTTTTCTGTTGTTTACTTTATAAAATTGAAAGTAAATATGTAGAAGGATATCTAAGGACACGGGAGGTAAGTACTAACTTTTATATATAATTTTCACTCAGGCCACAACGTTTTGTATTTTATATTATTACAGTTGAATTCGTTTTTTAATTGAAAATCATTTTACAGATTCTACGATTTGTGGATTTTAGGTAGTTTCAAGATTCATTTCGTATTCATGTTCGCTAAATTTAGAATTCCTAGTTTCGCGATTTAGCTTCAATTTTTCGATTAGATCGTTATTAAGTTCCCTGAATCGTCACCACGTTTTAACTTTTGGCTACACTGGGTAAGCCTAAATCTTGAATAAGCTTTGAAACATGCAAATTGTGAACCATCTATAATAAATACATAGCTCATAAGATTTTTTCTGCTCAATCCTTATACGTATGTGTAAAAGTTCTATACTAATTAAACAGATTATGAGCTTTGTTGATACAAAACATGCGCAAGCGACATTTTGCCTCGTTCAGGAATGTGTTTATTTTTATTTGTCTTTGTTTCCATGTCGTTGAATTTAAACAGTAAAGCTCTAAAAGTGTCTTAACAGTACTGCTTAGCATTAACCTTTGAGCATTCACCAAGAAGTTCTGGAAAGCTATATTTTCTTCCATTCTAAATATTGTGGCTATCAACAAATATTTTATAGCCTTTAACATAAGAAAAAAAATACAAAAAGTGAAGTCTTTCACACACTCACATTGCTTAGATGTGTCGCAAAATTTGAAATTATGCCCAGACTCAAATTCAGAATCACAATAAATATACTAAGTGACATATAAATCCGAACACCCAGTTTAAATGGTTTTATTTTAATAAAATTTTGTATAAGTACTCAATGAAGCATAATAACTAAATGACAAAAATTTCAAAATGATTGCACTGCTTTAAAGCCCTTTGACCTTTAATAATGTGTGGATGCACCCTGATGTGCTACGCATTCTCCAACGCGCCTAGGCATGCTTCTGATCAGGTGGTCAATGTCCTCCTGTAGTATCTCATTCCAGGCAACCACCAACTCCTCTCGAAGTGCTTCTAGAGTCTGAGGAGGACGTTGCAAATTGAGCAATCTCCTACCCATCATATCCCACACGTGCTCAATTGGGGATAAGTCGGGAGATCTTGGTGGCCATGGTAACAATGTGACATCATTATGTTGAAAGAAGTCTATTGTGACTCTTGCAACATGTGGTCGGGCATTATCTTGTTGGAAAGTTGGATCTGCCAGGGTGTCAAGATATGGTAAAAGATGGGGTTCTAGAACTTCGTGGATATAACGCTGCGCGTTCATGTTACCTCTGATGAAGATTAAAGGTGACCTGGAACCATAAGCTATAGCACCCCAAACCATAACTCCAACAGTGTGATGAACTTGTCTTTCAACAAAAAACTGTGGATTCCTCCTTTCACCACGTCGCCTTCTAACCCTGGCACGACCATCGTGCATGCCTAAACAAAATCGAGACTCGTCGCTAAAGACATTCTGATCTGATCTGATCTGATCCCAGAGTTACCGTTGTCTGCCCCACTCAAGGCGATTAAGTCGGTGTTCTCGAGTTAAAGGGAGGACCCAGTGTGGCCGGTATGAAAACAAGCCAAAACTTCTCATTCGTCGGTAAACACTTCGCATGCCAATAGCTCTTCCGTGTTCTGCAAACCATTCATTTGCAATTGACCTGGTAGTGGAGAAACGGTCCCTTAAGGCCAATAATCTTAGGCGGCGATCTTCACGGTCTGTTGTTCTACGGCGGCGTCCAGTGCCCCTTGCTCTTTACGTACGGCCTTCTCGAAGCCATGCCTCAACACCTAACCACAGTGTCTACACTTCTTTGGACTCTAACTGCAATTGCCCGAAAAGACAGTCCAGCTTCCCGAAGTCCCACTATACGGCCCCTATCAAACTCACTAAGCTGACGAAATCATACAGGTCTCCGTACTCTAGGCATCGTAACCGATCGTAAAGGATGTCAAGAACCAAAATCCGCCAACGTTGATTCTTTACTGCGGCTGAAATATTCATTTTTAGAGCGTTAGTGAATTAAATGAAAGCAGCATAAAAACCGGAATATCCAACTGATAAGGCTGAGAATGTTTTCACTTGTTATTTACAGTAAGATAAATACATTCACCAACTTTTATTAAAATTAAACCATTCAAACTGGGTGTTCGGATTTATATGTCACTTAGTATTTGTAAAACTAGGAATACCGAAACTGACTTTAACTTTTTTGAAACAATGCAATTTTTATTCATCTGGAACTCCGCTATTATGAACCTTATAACGTTATTTTACAGAATTGGGCATTTTTAGCAAGATTTTGTTTTTTATCCCAAGAAGGGCAATTTGAATATGAAATTGAATATAATGAAGACCAAGGAGATATTAATTTGCTATTATACTACGACACTGAAGATCAGTGGCCTGCAGTGTACAAATCTAATAAGGTTAGTCCTAAAATCAGAGTAAGAACAACGCATTGAAGAAAATCATATATTTCAACGTTTTTTCATATCAAAAACAAAGCCTATATAATTTTAGGTATTAATCGAGACAGCTTTGGTTTTACATTATTTATAAATGGACTTATGCTGCAAAATAAATATTAAGCAAGAATTGTCAAATCTTTTTTCTCAGACTTGCCGACAGAAGGAATCGGTGCTGAGTAGGGAACAAAACCAAATCATCAACCTCACGACATGGTCATTTACGGAAAGAGAGCAATCAGGATGTTTCTTCCTCCATCAAAACGAACCAAAAACGACTACGACTGCCATTATCAGCGTTCCTACTTTACCAACAACAAAACTGAAAGGAGGTAACGCATATGTGTAGTTTTTAAATTATATGCAATATGAGGTACTCTTACTATGCTTACTATGACATGTACGAGGGATGCCTTTAAGTTTTCCATATGGAAATATACTAAGTGACATATAAATCCGAACACCCAGTTCAAATGGTTTTATTTTAATAAAATTTTGTATAAGTTGGAGTATAAAAAAGAAAAAAAAAGAAATTGTCGACAGATTTGGCGCTTCGTTGCCGAAAACTGACAGTAACTCAGCGAGGCATTCTTGTTGCGATAATTGCCTTTGAAAATTGTAATAAATTACGGCGCGACAATGTTCTCGGTTGCGTTCCATTTTTCTAATGACTTGGTGACACTTAAAAATTCACTGTAGTGAGAACCCTGCACGTATTGTTGTGAAACTTTGAATTTAAGTTTACTAAAGAGTGAGGTTAAGATTCAGTACTGACGTTCGATCCGCGCGGCCTACTATGCTTCTATATGCAAAACTTAAAAGATATCCCTCGTACGTCATGAAAAATTATTTTTATAAAACGAATAAACAAAAAGCACATAAACTTTCCTGTCAAATCTTAGAAAATCAACGAACATATAAAAAGTAGCGTATCAAAGACAATCTGTTCAGCCGTTTTAATTCAAGGATTTTTTAAAATTTTCAATTTATACCTCTAGAAAGAACAACTCCATCTGTAGCAGAATGGCCGGAAGAAAAACTATACCACGACGACGACTTCATATTACAATGAGTCAAACTCAACTCTAGAATATACTACAGAACATGAGGAAAATAATACGGCAACTATAGAAGATTTTAATACAACAGACACCCCTTTTATAGAAGTTTCAGAAACAGAGGTACGTCTTTTCTAATCTACATGGGTCATACTTATTACAACAGAATTCAGTCTTACTCATTTCTCAGCTCGTATAACAGGCATCAACTGGACACCGTGCTACATCACTTAGACCACAGGCTTTTGATACCATTAATCACGAATTGTTGGTAGCTAAACTTCAGTTACTATGGCTTTAATAAGGAAGCATGTTTGCTTTTAAAATCATATTTGACAGGAAGGTATCAATCGATTCTATCAAATGACACACTCTCAGACAAAGCGGAGATCCTATCGGGAGTTCCTCAGGGATCAATATTGGGCCCCTTGTTATTTTTAATTTATACATCTGATATCCTTAAGTCTTTAAAGTTTTGTAAAGTTCAGGCCTTCGCGGATGACACCCAGGCTTATTGTTTTTTTGATATTGAGGATTACAAATATTACGAAAATTGTATAAATGAGGACATTAACTCCTTGAACAATCTCTCATTAGGTCACAACTTAAAACTTAATCCGGAAAAATCTCATGTAATGATTTTTGGTAACAAATCTAAGACTGAGTTTTTGAAAGCTAATTTCAATATAATGGCTAATAATTCAAAATTGAATTTTGTTGACAGTACAAAAAATCTCGGTATAGTTTTAGATTCTCAGTTAGATTTAAAGATCACCTGAAAATCTGCAAAAATCATTTTGTTCTCTAAAAGTTTTATTCAGGGTGTTTCAGTTTATTGTTGCATAACTTTAAGATCCGATAGAACTTTTAAAATTAATGCATAAAGTCTATATAAACATGGGTCGAAAAATGCGTGGCTTCCGAAATACAGGGTGTTTAAATTTACCTTCTAAAATAGTTTTTTTAAATATTTCGAACAATATTTGATGTATAACAGTGAAAATTGGTATACAAGGGTTTTTTGGTACGACAAAACGAACCATGGGCATAGTTTTACTGTAGCCGCTAGAGGGGCGCTCTCTACTGTACCTGTAGTGTATTAAAATGACCGAAAAATGTTTCTTAGTGCAATTTTTTGCTTATTGAATAAAAAACTACTATTCTTCGCACTGTTCAACATAAAAAAGCTTTCTTGTGGAATTTTGGTATAGTTAGCCGTTTTTTGAAATATTTAAATTTTTAATGTTCGATGCATTTTTATTATTTATGATAAAATAATGTTAAAAAGTCAGTATCTCGATAATTTTTAGAAGTAGGCTGTGCCTGAAATATTTTTGAAATTGAAAGCAGAATAAGGTTAAACGTCAATTAGATGACAGTTAGTTTTGTTGTCTCTTGAAACCTGAACGTTTTTTTGCAATTGTGGATGCACGAAATTTAGTTTCTTTTACCCGTTTTTTTTTTGTAAGTTTTATAAAAAGCCACTTTTATTCTCCAATCAAGAGTTAGCGGATATTCATTTTGTGTATGGCTTGTAAATGGAAACGCAGCAGAAGCAGCCAGAGAATACGCACGAAGATTTCCAAACAGCGACATCCAACTCGCTCAGTATTTGTAAGAGTGCATCGCCAAATAATTGAAAATGGTTTTGGAAATCTCCAAAGGGATCAAAACATAAATGTTCGTCAGCGCATATTTACCCGTATGATTCTGCGTGAGTTGATAGAGATCCGACCACAAGTTAGGAGAGTTTCTGGTGCCTTGGGAATTTCAGCAAGCCATGTTCACCGTGTTCTTAGAAATGACCATAGACGTCCTTACCATTTGCAACCTGAGCAAGGACTACAGCCAGGGGACGGAGAACGAAGAATCACATTTTGTCAGTGATTCTTGATAGAAACTGATAATAACAGGGAGTTTTTAAGTAACGTTTTATGAACCGATGAGTCATGCTTCACTAGACGTGGAGTGGTAAATTTTCATAATCAACATATTGGTCGCATGAAAATCCGCATGCAGTGTGAACGTGTGGATTGGATCTACCGTAATCGACTATTTGGACCCTACCTTTTGCCTGCAAGGTTAAATGCTGCGACCTTCTTGGAATTTTTAAAGGC